CACGCATCAAAATGGGCTTCATATAATTATTTGAAAAATTCCACAAAAAAATATTTGTCTAAAGAACCTTAAAAAAAATAGGCATGTAGAAATCCATACAGAGAACAGATTTCTTGAAAAGAAAGGTGATTCATCCATTAATTACAAAATTATGCCACCTTGAAAATGGCTAATTGTCAGTTATAGCCAAATTACGCAAAATTTGACCATTTCGTCTCTTATGTAAGTGGTCGTATTTTCAAAAGTACTTATTCAAATTTGACAAATGAGGTATCAAAACTCCTCTTTCCATGTGCTCTAAAAGGAAATTGGCAGGGGAAATGAAATGTAGATACTTTCAAACTTTAGCTGTGATACCTACTTTTACAGGTACGACATAAAAATGCCCAAAGTTATGCTTACTTACAATATACATATAGATCACTAAACACAGGGGAGGCACAATAAGTGTTTCAACAGCTTTTTGTATTAAATGTCAAAATCTTTAAATGGAGCATGAAATTGCATTTCTTTCAGTTGAACTAGTACAAAATATTTTTTCAGGAGAATGCTTCCGGCATGACATACTCTTTTGCAATCTTGGCTACATAAATTTCCCAGTCTTTGTGTTTAGGGGTGATATGTTATGCTAAGTGCCTGAAAAATGGTCTAGTAGAGTGTGAGAAGATTTATGCATGAAATTTAAAAGCAACATGGAAAACTTGTGGAAATTATTATATATATTACACTGGTCACCATTCAATAATTAATGATGCTCTTTTGTGTGTGCAAATGGGTAGGGAGAGTGGGTGGTGTATGTGGGCGAGTGTGTAGGTAAGGATGAGTGTGTTGTGTGTGTGTTTTTTCTTCATTATACATAGTGTGTAATTTGAAATATTACTAGCTAAGTTGTACAGTACACTACATATGATTGTATACGATAGATGGAATTTACATATTAGAAAGTACACTACGTAGGTGAAAATAATCCTTTTTAAAAATATAAAGAAGATGAGAGAAATAGGAAATGGCAAGAACAGAAAAAGAGATGGAGCTAGAAAGATATGGAGGAAAGGGGAATAAATGAGAGAGGAAAGAGAAAGCTACATAGCAATTATCGATATTACAAGTTGTGTATAATAATTTTTTTTAAATATTATCAATAATATCATTAAAGGTATTACAAAGTTTTGGGAAATTTTGAAAAATGGGTGGATAGTGATTCTTTACAATTTTGATATATTTGGATGCCCATGTGGATGCATTAAAAGCACTAGAAATTTTAGCCCCTAAAACACTTCTGCTTTCGAGAAAAATTGAATGTAAAGATTTACCGGTGCTCCCGGTAAATTTTGATAAATTTTAAATGGCTCCTATGGCCGTACTATGGTAGATGCGACCATGGAAATCTCAGAATATGTAGTTGTGGTATAACGGGAATAGCTAATCGATCGATATTGGTCAAGAAACATTGTTTTATAGCTTAATTAATATCTTGACCTTGAGAGGGAGCTATACAACATAAAGTGATTATTATTTATAATTTCATGAATTTAGACTCGATTTCGACCGCGACGACGATCACTGAATATTGTAGGGTCGCATATGCTTCTAATATGTTCATTTAAACCAAATTCATGACCCCATACCAAAACTTTGTATTACCTTTAATAATCATGAAAACAAAAGTGACATTTTCTAAGAAAATTTGTATGTATGTGCTCACCCTTGATGTTAACCAAATTTAGTCAGTTCTGACTTTTGAGATGCTGTTCAATAAACTTCATGTAGGCATATGGTAAGATACTAATCAAATTTGTTTCTTGTTTCTTCTTTGCATTGCAGAAATTTAAGTCCCACAAGTGGAATTATATCTTCATCTATGTGATCTCAATGTTGAACATACATCCCATCTCAATCCAATCCAATCCAGGAAATTTATAAAGCGCCAATATCTAGTTACCTAATCAAAGGCGCTGATGAGACTGAAAAACTACCAAAAATATCTGTTCATGATTCTAAATTGGTAAAGACAAAAAAGCAGTGACTAATTGTAAGCAATCTTAAATAGGTATGTCTAGTTTTTAAATAGGTATCTCTCAACTTGTAAATAAAATATCCATTTTTTTTTCTTAGTTGTGGGAGTTTCTTTTAGATTTTCTAGTTCAATTTCATTGCACAGGTTTCTATGCATCATTTTAACAAAAACTATTTTTGATCTTTGTTAACCACTGCTCTTTTTTGTCTTATTCACTGCAATCTCTCACGTTTTAAGAGTTGAGCAAAATTAATTTTTCTGAGATCAGCTCACTCTAATCAATATTGTAATTTTTTTGTTTACCCAGTGCTCTTTTCATTCTTGCCTTTGTTTTGTAACATCAAAGTTTATTCTCACACGTTCTGTAACTCGTAAGCATTTAGTTTAAGAGGGAAAAAAGCAAACTAGATTTATTATATCATGAAAAGGGGCATTTGGTGTAGCTCTACAGCTGATACAGATACATAAACCCAATTTTCACAAATCGTCTTTTGTCAACTTTTTCTACCTTCTTTTGGCTTCACTACATAGAAAAGGAGCTTGTATAACTTTACTCTTTATGCAATAGTAGTTACAAGAATGCCAAAAATTTCATTAAAAGTATAACTATTTTATAACAAGACCATCATGGTTAATACTACCATAGAAATCAGAAAAGATTGAGGTTTATCCACGGTTTATCTGCAGTGCATTGATGCATGGTCAGGTTACAAAATCTTATAATTACCTCGACAGAAAAGGATACTGAACTATTTTCTCTAGAAAGTGTGTGATCCCAGTACTTGCTGGTACTGACAGCAAATAATAGATTAAATACAGGAGATTTTGTTTGCATTAAAGCATATATACATAAATATCTACAATAGATTTTGATTTGCTGATTAATATCTATTCAGTATTATAGAAATTGAAATACTGCCTTCCTTTTCTGGTCAAAATGTCACGGTTACTTGGACAAGAATGCAGCAACCTGCTGATGATCTGTTCAATCGCTCGTTCATTCATTCATTGTAAATAAGTATTTTCATATTTGTATTGGGATGACTGACCTTAGGGTGTGTATCAAGGCAGGCATAATAGGGCTTATTGACCAGATTCCAACGTGTCCCCAACCAGGTCAACTTTACAGTTTTTCTTTCTACATGTCCATATTTCATCGTTTCTAGTTATTATACATGTACTTGAAAATGACCAAAGATATTCTTCTTTGATATGAAAAGAGATAATTTTGAATTTTGAGTGTTGAGGATGCCTTATTCAAACTTATTTTGCTCTAAAAGGGTAATCCAACCCTAGTAATCAGTTGGTTTGTATGAAAGCGGAAAAATAATAAAAACAGAATGGCAAAAGTTTAAAATGAATCGGACCAAATGTAAGAAAGTTATGAATGTTTGAAATATGCGATCACTAAGTCTACGCAAATCTCAAATTGGTAGTGTGGTCAGTGGATTGTGACGTAGGACATGGATAACTCACCCATTTGCTGTGTACAAAAATATAACTAATTTTTGTTTTTCTCGTAAGTTCCTTCTCTCTTGGGGCACTACTCAAAATATATTGTAGAAAGCATATTATTATCGGTCATCTAAAAAGAATAGACCCTTCTGAGCCATGACTTTTTGAAAAATATTAAATTTTAGTAATTTTATATGTACGGTTGGAACAGATGGGAAAGTCATCCGGCACTTCATCCCGTTGACATTACCGCTTCAGCCTTGTGGACCTTGTGGCAGATTAGCCCTGTGCTAAACAAGGTATCCAATAAAGTCTACTACTACTACTACTACTACTTCTACTACTACAACTACTCCTCAGCCAATTTGAAGTGCCCATACATCTAGTGATTACAACTTTCAACAATTCATAACTTTCATATTTTTTGTCAGATTTAATTGACACTTTAATCAGATGTTAATGATATTTTTTTCCACAGTATTTTAAAAGGAGATTTATTACCGACTATGTCACATTCCACTGACCAAACTGCTAATTTGAGATTCACATACACTAAGTTATCTTATATTTCAAACATTCTTAACTTTCATATTATTGGTCTGATATTTTCACCATTCTGTTTATCTTATTTTTCTGCTTTCATACAAATGAACTTATTACAAAAGTTGGATTGCCCTTTAATTAGTATGTGGTTGCCAACTTTTTATCATTTGTACAATGTACTTAGTAATTAAAAGAAAAGGGACAGGATTCATCTCTGATCTATTGTAAACCCTGTTCAAAAGATCATAAAAGGTAAAATACAAGAAAAGCTCTAAAGGGTGTCATTTTAAATGCTACAATAATAAGATGTTCACCAAAGTCATTCTCATTTCAGCCTTCAACTTTCTTTTATATGCAGGTAAATAATCGCCCCCTTCTTGACATTCATTCTCTTGGGAGCAAGAAAAGAAAGAGAAGTCTTAAGTGCAGCAAACATTATGAATCTGTTCCATCAAGCCAATAATATTTTGCTGTCCATAAAATGCATCTTCCACAAGCCAAGATAACTCTCACCTTTATATAGACACTACAAATAATTCAAATCACGCTCTTTAAGAATCACGCATGTAATGTTGCTGACAGAACCATGCAGCAAGAACGAGGTAGCAAATTAATATTCAACATTCTGATATAATTTGCTGACATCTTCATGAATCTGTGTTAATGTTTAAGAATCACAACATGATCTTATGATTTCACATTATAGAAAGCGATCAAATTATCAGGCCTGTTTAACACATGTGTACACCTTTTATGCAATACCTTTTATGCAATACTCATTTTCTTTAAAAATGGATCACCATGACCAAGATCAGGTTTTAAAATACCATATCATACAATTAGACTGTAATGTCACATCACCAACAATTAAACCCCTGTTTGTACCCAGATTCATTATTTCAAGCCACTAGGTTTCACTAAGATAATTCTGGTCGATAGCCTTTTACCAAATTCCCATAAATCAAATCATATTTTCTGTTCTTACTTTGCCCGTTCCTTGGCTCTCATCACATTTGACCTCTTGTTTAGATCCCATGTTGGCAAGGATACCAGGATGTTGATCCCATCTTGACCTTTTCAGAGAAGATGATGATGATGATGACGAAGATTGTCCTGGCTCTTCCACTTCTTTTGATATCACTGTTATTAAGAAAGGTGTTGAATTTTAATTGGTGATGGGAGTAATATGAATGTGGGCAATATGTTTGGTATTTAAATAAATATATTGAAGCACAAAACTATAATTTGATTGACAGATGTGTAATTTGTCATAAGAAGATGCTAATGTAGGATTTTATAGATAAAACTGTTATAAGAAAACAAAACACCAAGGAAAAAGAAAAGGGGAAAAAAGCAACAAAAAAAACAAAAAGAATTACTTCTACAGAATAGCAGAAACAGGAGTTTTGTGAAATTCATTATTTTCTCTGAATATCCATGATAAATGTTTCATCCTCAAAACCTCAAAGAGCTGGCTAAGAATTTCATTGTATTCCAAATTAATGTAAAAACTTTGTTGTTTATTACCTTAATTTCCTTTTTTATCAAACTAAATCAACCTGTCAGGGTTAACTTTGTGTTTAATTCTCAGAGTTGATGAGGATCATATTTTACTCAATAGGAAATTATTCATAAAAATATGACATGTCTACATCCTGTTCTGCAGACATAGAATATGTAGGTGTACCATATACAGTATATTGAAATGTGCTTATTTATATCAAATTATATTGGCACGCTGCCCAAAATCAATATCAGCAATATTTTGTAGGTTTAGGGAAAAAACTCTTGAATTTTAAGGCTTAACTGCTCTTTAAAGTCTACATACAGCTTTAATATATCCCCAAATCAATACAAAACAAAACAAACAAACATCAACTTAAAAGTATTAATCAAATTTGATTTGGCCTTTAGTTGATGGATAGAAATACACTCCCAAATTTTACTTGTTCAAGAGATTTAATTCAACCTAAAAGATGAACATTTACTAAGTTTTATACCACACTAGTATTACTCTTGCCGTTTAGTGATGGCCTTTTGATCTTAAATGATCCGCATCAATCCATATCATTGACTGGAGCACTGAATTGAATATAAGGAGTGTGCAAATATTTTTCATGCAGAAAATTGCAAGAACAGCCTTGCATATGAGATGGAACATGATGAGTTTCATCACTCAACACATTTTAAATTCTGGTAGAAACAATTTAAGAGAAACAGGCTGAAAGAAAAACATATATCTTTCAGGGCCCCATGCATCTATAACCACCCACATTTTGACATTGCAACTAATATTTTAGACCGAGAAATATTTTTATTTTCTCTTGGAAACCATGGCTTATAAATTGTCAAGTTTGATATCATGCAACACTAAATTGAAAATGTAAATATTAGAAAAACTAAATGTGATTAAAATGTGTTTCATGAAATCATTGTTGGTACAAGTTTGTCAACTTGGTGACACTGCAAGGGAACAGTATTTATTACACAGTAGCTGGGTCATGTGGACCAGCAAATGTACCAGTAACCAAAAGCTAACTGGCAATACGCGGTAAATACGCGGCAATACATGAACTCTCACATCGCGGCATATGATAAAACAAGCTTAATTTGGCTTAAGCAACACAAAAAAAAACAACAACAAAAAAAAAATTGAAATTTTGAAAATCCGGGATCTCCCGCATTTTGGGGTATGAAAATATACCTCCGCCTGCAGAACAATCAATATATTTTAATTATCGGATTAAAGGTAGTAGCCCTCTTTTGCAGCCCCTCCCTAATTTTGATGAAGTTCTTTATAGGCATGATAATAACCCTCTTCATATTTTAGACCTAACAGACCAGTAGCTTCTAATGAATTTCTGCATCTCTTTTTTCATCCTCAAAATGTTATGAACAGTGTTTTCAGAACATACATTATCAAATTATAGTAGCAAGTAGGTCCCACAGCACCTAATGATCTTTAAATGGTCATACATACTCTTACAAAGTTTCACTACGATAGCACAATTCGTTCTCAAACTATCGTGCTCACAAGATATTTTAGCACATTTAAATTGACCTGTAACCTTTCAACTTTTGACCCCTTAATTTAATCAGGTGATCTTTACATGGTCATACATACTCTCACAAAGTTTAACTATGATAGCTTGATTCGTTCTTAAGTTATAGCATTCACAAGAATAATAATGGACAGATGCACCAGCAGGTGTACGGACAGACGGACAACCCGAAAACATAATGCTTCCGGTACTCACTTCGTGTGGCAGAGGCATAAACACCTGTCCATAAAGACAATCTGTCTGCAAAGACTACAATTCTTGTCTCAGTCTAGTGGTCTTTGTATACAGGGTCTAATATGACCTGTTTTCTGACAACAAACAAAATGTCACTAGTTTTCAACTTACATGTTTGTATCTCTTTATTAACTGACAACAGAGACATCTGCAAAAGGTGTAGGGGTGGGATTCTCTCAATTGAACTTGAAAGAAACGACCCAAATGAGAAGCATTGTAAATGGTTACAAATAGTTAGTGACCTGGCACTGATTTTGAGAATGTTTCATGGAGCCAAAGTGATACATACATTTAGATAATCCTGGTTGTGTAGGGTATATGTCCATCTGAGCACTGGCCGGCTGCTGAATCTCCAAGAAATTAAAGACAGAAAACTTATCCTTCTTTACAGTAGGAAGGCCAACAATTGAAGACCTGTTGGAAAAAGAAAGATTTTTCAAAAGTAGACACCAATGAATGACTTATCCAAAAAGCATATTGCGTAATTTCTCAAGGTTGAATGGTTGCCGAATGTTGCCAAATTCATCTATGATAGTTTTACCCCATTGGCTATAGGAAGGGGTGAAGTCAGCAGTAAACTGGTGAAGAAAAATTGATCAATAAAGACTGGGGAAAGTCAATATTGATGTTCTGTAAGAATAGCGTCCGCCTCACAACCGGGAGGTCGTGGGTTCAAACCCCGGCCGCGTCATACCAAAAGACGTTAAAAGATGGGAGTTGTTGCTACCTTGTCTGGCGTTCAACAATAAGGGATAGAGCAACGTCGATCTGGCGCTGCTCAGTGGCTGCCGGGCTCACGATCAATTGGGCAAAAAGAATTTCCGTTTCGGTTTAATAAAATTTGGAGTGGACTATTAGGCTATTATTATTATTATTATTATTATTATTATAATTATTATTATTATTATTATTATTTCTATTTGTTATGCAGTACAATACTTGGAACTATACAGAATCACAGATATTCAGTAATTTTCAAAGAAATCTCCATGAGATTAAACAGGTTTTTAACCATGTAATCTTGCTTTTCAATACCAAATATTATAATTTTCACACCCATTTTCAAGAGGTAACTTCTACATTCAAATTACTTACACCAAGGTAATTACTAAGAAAATAGTGCAAAAAGTATTTCATACATGTACATACAGAATTAATCAACAATGTCTACTGGTGCCTATCCAATATTATCGAAGTCTCTTCCCCTGTCCCCACATTACCAAAAGGTCATGTGAACCATGAAGAAATAGTAAAAACGTTTTGAGATCCTTAAAGATCCCTGCAGATAAAAGGGCTATGGTAACTCCCAAACACTATGTTCATCATATTCTTAGTTTATATCGTTCTTAGCATATATGTTAACAGTAGTAGTACTGTAGCTACTTAATTTATACATTCCTTTTTTTCTTCATTTTGTATGCAATTCATTTTTTTCAACCTATGATCTTCAAATTATCTCCTGCCCTTTAATATAGATGGCATCTGGTTCAGGTAGGTAATAAGTTAACGTAATGTACCTATTTTCTAAAAATATATTGTTTGTTTTTTGGTTATAAAACACCAGAATCAAAATAACTTAAACTTAAAACTAAGTGGGAACACTATTTTGAATCCACCGCAGTAACACAGATCTGGCTCATAAAAGTATGAGGTTAAGGGTAGCCCTTTGTCATGTTTATTTCTTTTAAATGGGGATCTTTCAGAAAAGTGGGCTTGGCAAGAGCTATTCATAAAGTTTTCATACAGCTTTTTGTGAGTGTGAAAGACTGTGGATTTTTTTATGATCCAAACCTTGACCTCTTACAAATGGGTATATTGTTGTCTCAATTTTTATCTAACCAAATATATAGATGACAAAAATAAGATAGAATTTTTGTGATATAATTTTGTGATATAATTTTGTTAGATAATTTTATTACAGAAGTCTTCACCTTCTATGCTTCATTTGTAATTTAAGCTTTCTGGTGTTATTGAATAACCTTTGGTAGCTTTTAATTACCGGTATGCAATTTTGAGATCTGACACAAAGAAAAGTTCTGTAAAAATAGAAAAGATTCATGGTATTTTCATGACAAAAATAAATCAATCAACGTTTTAAAATATAATAACGGTACGAACTTGAAAAAAATAGAATACTTTTTAAAATAAATGTTAAGATTATGACTAGGATTTGATCCTGTATCATCAAATGAAAACAATAACAACAACCCAAGACATATCAATAAAACACATAGTCTGAAATTAGGTGTTCCGTATGTTAAATAAACAAATGAATTGTACCAATATGAGAACACAAAAGTGAATGAAACCTAGTCTCCAATTCTACCTTTATGGGATTTCTTCAAATGATTGACACTTAACTTTACCTTTGAATTTCCTGAAGATTTATTGTAAATAGTCACAATATTTATCGAATAGAGTATGATAATGTTCTTTTTTTTGGATAGGGGAAAAAATTCTACTTGAATATATATATATTGTGTAAAGGTGTTATTGGTGTAATTAAAAAACAAAACAGAGTCAATTCTTTCACCACTCACAACAAAGCAGAACAAAAATCATTTGGATAGCAGGTAATAATTGTTTGTACCTCCTTATTCATCAATCCAAATTGCATAAAATGTTACAACCACAAAAATGCATATTGTGTTTTATGTGTGTGTGGGAGGGGTGGCATGGTTACAAAAAATGGTGTATGGGCTTGTACGCAAATAGATTGTTCAATCCTGACCAACCAAACATAGTCATACTCTCCCTGTCTAAAAACTTGCCAAAATCATTTGCTTTTCCTACCACCTACAGGGTTCCTCAACCATGCATCATGACTTTACATTATATTTCCCTACTCAACCATCCTTTGAACATATCAATGCTTCCCTGATCATGCATGATCTCAGTCGGGTACACTGAAGAAATGTTGTTTTGGTGGTTTTCCCTATAATAAAACATCCAAGGCAAACAGTCATTCTCTGGCAGGTTACACAAATAGAGAATCTCCTGAATTCATTACACAACTTAATAAAAGTCGCCCAAGTTTCTTGACTGACAAACATATGACATGTTTCCCAAGCTTTTGAAAAGGTGTCGCTGTACTAACACGAAAAGTAAATACTCTCAGAGGAATGGCACAATCATATTTTTATGCCTTTTGTCATAACATGAACTCTGGAGAATAAGAAGTACAGTCTGTTTGTTTTATATCAAGGAAGAAGAAGAAGGGTTGGGGGAAGAAAAGTTGGAATTGCAGTAATATAACTCAGCATGACCTCATCCAAAAACCATTATTGAAACCGGAATCATACTAGACATCAATATGACTCACGATCTCTCCTGAAATAAAGATTAATCATATTCAGATCAAAAGCAATCTCTCTTTAAAATAATCACTTATCAAAGTATGATAATTGCATGCAGTTAAAAATGGACAGGAGTTAATCCACTTCCCATGTAAAACAACCCAAATAAATGAAGGGAGTATATCCACATTTACCCCCACAAACACAACTTGGCAAATGTAAGTATATTGGTAAAGCTGAAATGTGCATGTTACAGGGCTGTCAACCCTCTCGCATTTGGAGGGAGTCTCACCCCACCATGCTCATTCTTCTGCCGTCCCACCAGCTCGTAGCAGGAGACTCCTGCTACCACGCCCTTTTTCCCGCTTTGATGTAGAATCTCCCGGTTTATGAAGAAACCTCCTGCCAAACATGGTAACCACAATTTCCCTTTTTTTTTTTTTGCTCAAGGGGGAGGGGAGGTGTTGAGTATATATTTATCTACAAATAAATAATTATGAATGTCCAATATTCAAAAAATACTATAGTATCAATTCTTTAAAGTTCATAAAAGATTTAGTGAAATGTCATGCAAGCAATATGATACAAATCATATAACCTGGGCATAGGCATGGGGAAATCAAGTTTTTTGGGGAAATCAAGTTTTTGGGGAAATCAAGTTTTGGGGGGAAATCAAGTTTTGGGGGGAAATCAAGTTTTGGGGGATAAAAGGAAAATTAATGGGATTAAACTATATAAAGCAATTGATAGATAGTGAGGACATGACGTTACAAACAGATAAGCAAATTGGCAATTTGTGTAGTGATTTCGATTGTTCCATTGTTTTACATACTTTTTCAAAAATTCATAACTTTCTTATTACCTGGTAGTTATCCGATTTTGCTGAAACTTGTTTTGACTGGTTTGTCTGATTTTTGTATTGAAAGTACCGGTAAGTTATTCTTGGAGTGGACTTGCCCTTTAAGACTTGGCACATACATTTTCACAAATGTTTATTTTTAATTTATGGTGTTGTACTCCTATTAAGGCTGTGTTTGGAGATGAGACTACATCTTTCTGAAAAAAATGAGTTGCCAATTCAATATGCTTCCCAGCCTACAGGCAATTGATCAATGATTAACCGGCAAGCTGCATCCATTACAGACAAGGAAAAGAGGAAAAGTTTGCATTCCTGTTTTCAATAGCACATTCCAAACTCTATTTGCTGAATACCTATGCCTTTCATACATTGTCAACTCTGCGAAGAAACTCAAGAATATGATTTCCATCTCATCTTCTTTGTTCATTCTTTCTATTATGCAAGTCATGCTCTGAAATACATTTGTTAGTCCAGTGAGCAAACACAGTCTACCTTTTCAGCAGCAGTTCCTCAAACATGTCAAAATATTGACACCAGATAAACAGAAAATAATCTTGATATCTACCCCAGTATGCAAGAAGGTACCAAAATTGAAATGTCCTCTTTAGACCACGATGGAGTTGCTACAGGTCTGTTGTATTTTTTAGTTTTTTGTGTAAAGCGCCATGAGCGTCAGAACCTGGCGGATACCGGCGCTATATAAATAACAAAATTATTATTATTTACTATTAAAGTATCGTACTCTCCATCTTGCAAAAGTGTGAATGTAGCACATATCATACCTGCCAACATTTGAAAATGAAAAATCTTACTCATAGACAGAACACGAATGCTAAAGTGTTCACCCATAACATTTGGGATTTATAGGGGAAGTCCTCCCTGATATTAAGTTGGTCATAATAAAAGCAGCAAAATGGGAGAAACAAATTAGTAGTGGAAGTTTGAACAATATCAAATTAAAAGTAGCAAAGTTATACATTTTTGAAGTTGTCATCAGTGGAACACTAATTGGCAATGATGTGACATATCTTGCGAGCTCCTCTCCAATTTGCTCTGTACACAAAATTTTGTAACCTTTCATTTTTTTTAGTTATTGATGACGGAATAGATAGTTTTTCATATAGGGGTCGTATAAAAAACATATTTGCAATAATTATATTTAGGGTGAATGTACAATATACAACACGCACAGACGTTCCAGTAGCTCGTTATTATGCCGCCTGTTTCAGATATCACCTCGGCCTATAACAGTGTCACAATATATTTTTGAATTCTGA